GAAACGAACATTTCCATTTCATTTCTCTTAAATCCTATTTTAGTAAATAAGAAAATCACCATTTTGATGAAAACATGTTAGTTTAGCAGCCTCAGTGATAAAACCTGAATCTAGTTGGTGTTTTCTACACCCTTATTGAATCTAGTTGGTGTTTTCTACACCCTCCCTGAATCTAGTTGTTGTTTTCTACGCCCTCCCTGAATCTAGTTGGTGTTTTCTACGCCCTCCCTTAATCTAGTTGGTGTTTTCTACACCCTTATTGAATCTAGTTGGTGTTTTCTACACCCTCCCTTAATCTAGTTGGTGTTTTCTACGCCCTCCCTGAATCTAGTTGTTGTTTTCTACAGCTCGGTGTCTCCGCTGGGGAAGATTCGCCTCCTGGACGTCGGAAGCTGCTTTAATCCGTTCCTGAGGTTCGATGAGTTTCTGACGGTGGGAATCGACATCGTTCCTGCTGTGGAGGTCAGAACGTTTTCTGTAGATCTTTGCTAGATGTTTGCTTTTCTGCTTATAGAGTGAAAACGGCAGAAATGAGTCACGCAGACGACGGCGTTCAGCTTCTGATCAGGAAGTGAAACGTCTGGAGGTCTTTCCATTCTGACTCAAACATCTTCTGACTTTTTTCTAGAGCGTCTACAAATGCGACTTTCTGAACCTGCAGCTCCAGCAGCCGCTGCAGCTGGCGGGCGACGCAGTGGACGCCTTCCTCCGCCACCTCCGCAGCCCCATCGACGCCCTGCCGGCTCAGCTGTTCCACGCTGTCGTCTTTTCCCTGCTCCTCTCCTACTTCCCTTCGCCGTATCAGCGCTGGATCTGCTGCAAGAAGGCCCACGAACTGCTGCAGCTGCACGGCCTGCTGCTCATCATCACCCCCGACTCCTCCCACCAGAACCGCCACTCCCTCATGATGCGCAGCTGGCGGGTGGCGGTGGAGTCGCTGGGCTTCAAGCGCTGCAAGTACGTCAAATACTCCCACATGCATCTCATGGCGTTCAGGAAGGTGTCGTTGGCCACCACCAGCGACCTGGTGTCACGCAACTACCCCGAGATGCTCTACATCCCCCAGGACTTTCACTCCAACGAGGAGGAGGAGGATGATGCCGCCGCGCCGCAGCAGGCGCTGCGCTCTGACATGGAGGACGACCAGCTGGCGTGGGGCTTCATGGAGCTGCCGGACACGCCGTACGACTCAGACTCCGGCGAGAGTCAGAGCAGCTCTGCTCCTGGCTTCCATGAGACGGACGATCCCGTCCTCCTGCAGACTTAAGGTGGAGCAGCAATAATCCCCCCCCACCACCCTGCTGCTAAAAGAAGAAAATAATCCTAGAAGTGTTCAGTGTAAATGTGCAGAGACGCCATTTTTAATCCAGGATGTTTCCCAGTAAACCAGCAGTAGAAGTTGGTGACTGTTGTTGTCATAAAGGTTCGACTTCTTCTTTTTCCACATCTGAGTTTAATCTGACTGACCTGGAATATCAAGGTCAATAATCCCAACCTGAACGTTTTGCTCTCTGAGTCAAGAGATTTTGCACAAATATGAACATTTATTCTATATTTATTTTGTCTCTTAGCAACACGTGCAGGAAGATGATCATCGAGACGCTTTGTTTGGTTTTTCTCCTAAAAACTGAAAGTTTTGTTCTTAAAGGAAGTTTTTCTTGTTTTCGATTTAATTCAATGTTTTTTTTTATCTCCTTCATTTCTGGATCATTCTGAGCTGAAAACCATCATCATCATCATCATCATCATCATCATCACAGATTTAGTTGTTTGTGTTTTTAAAGTGTCTTCCAGTGTTTTAGGCCTGTTTGCATCAATAGAGCATAAAATGCTTTTAAAGCTGAACGATTCGATCCTGCAGGATCAAACATGTTCTGCTTCTCTTTTATAAATGATTAAACTATTCTTGTTTCTGTGTGATTAATTGTAAATATTTAAAGTTTCAGTTTTCCTTTTTCCCAAAACTCTTTGTGATGAATCAACATCACTGCATAAAAAGTCAATCTTGGGTCATTTTTTCTTAAACTGAGACGATTTAAAATAAATTTCTTAATTTTCCTGTTTCATCGATATTTAATCTTATTTTATGGGTAAAACCACCGATTCCAGATTATCTCATTTACCTGCTCAAATTAACAGTAAATAACATTTGAGTCACTGTTCAATTTAAAAGTACAGGATAGAAAGCGAACCTTTATAATCCCTAATATGAGATTAAACTCTGTAATTCTTTGGGATTATTTTCAGCAAGAACAAGAAAACTGGAAACTTTGCAGGTTGAAAATAATCTAAACTCTAATAAACTGGAAGGAGCGAATCAGTGAGTGAATATAAAGCGCTTTGGTCGAGTTTCCTGACTGGAATAAAGGCGCTATACCAGTAAAGACCATTTAGAGTTTAAATCCTAATCTAACAGAATTACTGGAAAAAATAGAAACTGTTTGCTGATTTATCGTCTATTCTGAGCTTTTTTATTTAGCAGAAATACAGATTTTAATAACAGTTCTTCCGTTACATAAATGTTTTTAACGTCACAAAAGGTAAAAAAGGTTTAATCCTAATTATATTTGCAGTGTAAACTCAAAATGACACCAAAGTATACATTTTATATACTTTGGGTTTAATTAAACTTTAAAGCTGTTTTTTATTCTTAGAACTCTTTAATAATTAAATTAAAGGCTCGTTTAAATATGTTTAGATTATAAATAATGAAACCTTATAAATCATCTCAGAATAAATTCTACAATTATTTCAGATTTCTAAAGTTTTACTGTTATAGTTTAATAGTGAAATAATTTAAAACTTTCTGAGCTGCTGCCGTAAAGACATTTTTGACCCTCTGCGCTTTCCGTTGTGAGGAAACAATCATGGCGGCGCTCTGAAGTTTGGAGAGAAACTAATAGTTTTAAAGCCGCTTTTATGTTTTTATTTAGTCTTTTATCGAGTTTCTATCATTTATGATCAGATGAAACATTTGATCTAAAGTAGAAACTTCTCCTCGCTGCTTCTTTTCTTTTTAAATTTTAAATCTAAACCAAAGTTTCAATAGTTTGAATCGATGCTGCGGAGCCTCCAGGCGGCCCTGCTCCTCCTGCAGGAGGAGCAGCGGGAGGAGCAGCGGGGCGCGCGCTCCTCGCTCCGGTGGCTGGGTTACCTGTCCGGCCTCAACCTGTTGCTGGGTGTCTGTTTGGGGCTCTATGACCGCCGGGGGGAATCTGCGGTTCTTGCGGTTTTCATTGCGGGGCTGCTGGTCCTCACAGCGGCGGCTTTTCTGCTCTGCTTCCTGCGGGCGGAGCGCCTCTGCCGGGCTCTCCTCCACCTGTGCACCGGCTTCCTGTTGGGGGTCCTCAGCTTCCCTGAGGCGCGCGCCCGGGGCGGTGAGCGCGCGGCCGACTACCTGCTGCTGTGCGGTGCGGTGCTGCGGGGCCTGCGGGCGCTGCTGGAGCGGCTGCTGGGAGCCGGCCGGCCCCGGGCCTCCTTCCTGACCTCCGCGGAGCGGCTGCAGCTGATCGGCTTCGCGGCTTCCAGCGCCGCGCTGCTCGGCCAGGAGGCGCTGAGCGTCACGCTGCTGCTGGCGGCTCTGGCTGCGGTGATGGTGACCCTGAGGACCAAGGCTCTGCTGGCTCTGCCCTGCCTGGCCTGCTTCCTTGGGGTCAGCGCGGGGATGGAGGCCCTGAGCACCACCAGCCCCTCCGCCTTGTCCTGCTTCTTCATCCAGATCATCTGCGACCCTCTGCTGGATTCCTACTTCAGCGGCCTGTCGGTCACTGAGCGCTGGAGGTCCTTCCTGGTGTCCAGCGGCTTGAAGCGGCGCCTGGCTCTGCTGCCTCTGCTGGGGGTGGAGGTGACCTTCTTGGCCTTGGCCTCCATCAGCTTCATCAGCTCCATCAGCCGCTCGGAGCGCCGGTACCTGCTGGTTCTGGTCTTTGCGCTCTGCGCGCCGCTGTGGGCCGCGTGCCACGCCGTGCTTCTGATCACAGTTTGGGGATTTCACAACAAGCTGAGCGACTGTCAGCGGCTGAGCTGGACTCAGAGCCCAGAGGACTCCAGCCTGGAGAAGATCATGGCCTCCAAGGGAATGAGGCATTTCTGCCTGATCTCTGTGCGCCTGGTGACCCTGAGCCTGATCTCCACCGCAGCTCTGGCTCTCCTCAGTTGGCAGGTAAGGATCCGGCTTCCCGTTAAAAGCACCTTTAACAGACGGAGGTGATTAGATGGCAGCTTCTCCTCCAGGAGTCCAGTGGGATCTTCATGAGTCTGGTTCTGCTCCTCCTCCCCCTGGAGTCTCTGCTCCACGGACTCTTCTATGAGCTGGGCAGCAGCCTGGGTGGAACCTGCGTGGGTTACGCCGTGGTCATCCCCACCAACTTCTGCAGGTGCTGCAAAAAGCCACACCTATCATCTCCATGACAACATCTGCGTAGATTTAGAGTCTTAATAATCCTCTAATTATCTTCATGATTTGGGAAAAAAAGAATTAGATTTAAAACTTTGAAAGAATCCAAAAGCGAATCTCTAATTTGTTCCTGAATCACAGATTTAAAATAAAAATAAACGTGTTTTTTTTACAGACGAAGATCTAAAGTCACATTTCTGACCAAAAGGACCAAATCCTAACTTTATTTCATTAACAGCTTCAGTTTTTTTTTATTTGAAGCGGGTCAGAAGCTCCTCCCCCTAATGGTTGCTGTCTGCGTGTTTCAGTCCTGAAGGTCAGCCGCTGCTGCTGCCGCCCGACCAGGTGAGCGAGCTGAACGAGCGCTCCACAGGGATGCTGAAGAGCGTGCAGCGTTTCTTCGCTCACCACCTGATCGAGAACTTCGGCTGCGACTATTCCACGAGCGGGATGAGCCTGGACGCCCTGCAGGCCAAGATCAGGTCCTTCTTGGAGCTGCGCACGCCAGACGGGCCCCGCCATGACACCTACGTCATCTTCTACAGTGGCCACACGCACCGCAGTGGAGAGTGGGCCATGGCAGGTGGGTCGGGCGCCATGGCAGGTGGGACGGGCGCCATGGCAGGTGGGACGGGCGCCATGGCAGGTG